TAGAAAATGTTCCAGGTATAATAGGTAAATAGAGGGACTTGAGTATATAGGACAAATGGCATCACTGGCACTGGGTGGTGCAAAACGCTGGTTTAGCAGACCATACTGTCAGCTTGAGTTACTGGGTCTGCTGGTCTGATGTCAATTTCTGATCTTGTTTCTCATTGAAGCTGTTTGTTTCCATAAAATATTTACCTGTTCACAGGAGCAAGCACTAAAACATGTACCATCTCCTGGCCATGCTTTAGCCATCAGTCTGCACAAGAACCTCACCATCTCTGGCCCAGTGAGTGTTTCAGCATTTGACACAAAGTGGAAAAGCTGAGTAAGGACAGGCTTAGAAAGCCCCTTTCAGATTGTCTCTGCCTATCTCAGGATCAAAATGGCTTTTTCTCTGCACTTCAGCTCACTCTTATAATGATCACTAGGGCAGTGTCGCCTGAAATGTAAGAATCTAAACAGCTACGTATGTGTTGCACTGTAGTAATGAAATGTTGGACACATTGTGAAAAATTCCTCCTGTTCTCACGATGGTGGCTTTTGCAGGAACTTGGATGTTAGAATAGAAAAAGAGAAGTTTAAAACATACCATATTTTTTTTTTGCTGAAAACTTACTGACTTTTCCTGTGGTTTATTACAAGACTAAAATTAGCTTGGCCAAATGCATTCAGCCCTTTGAATCACACAAGTGCTGATTCTTGTGTCTAGCAGACAGCTTAAGTTGTTCAAACTTCAAGCAGCAAATGAGCAGGGATGAATGTAATCTGTGCACTGCCAAGAATGGGAAACACTATTGTACGTAGCCTGAAACAAGGAGGGGAGACTGGACAATACCTGGTAGTTCCTCTGGTTCCCCTTGCCAGGCCCCTAGTGCTAAGGAAGTGAACCAGTTGAAACACAAAGACCAGGGAGCTCTCTTTGCAAATAAGCATGGGGATATAGAAAAAAAGTCCCCGCACTCATTTTCCATGAGTGTTGCAAGACCTGCGTAAATGAAAGGCCAACTTGAAAGCCGAAACCCTACTTTATATGTGTCTTCCTCAGTAAGAGGGAACAAGTATTTTTGAATTTGATGTTTACATAATGCTAGCTTTTATACAAAAGACTTTAGGAAAAGCCAAGCTGTTAACCCATCAAACAGCTCACCTGCTAATGTCTTTTCTCCCTGAAGCTCTTCACCATCTTTCGCATGAGGTGATCAATGCCTTAACGATTTGTGGTCATTTTCCTGTTTAAAAAGCTCTAGTCATCCAAGCAAAGACAAACAACCTTATATGGGACTCAGGAACAGTGCTATAGGAGAAATGAGAAGTGCATACAGGAATTTTTTCATGTGAATGCTGCATGCTAAAATAAGCTTGCAGAAAATTAATTAGTGAGACTACAGAATTAATTTATCAAATCTCAGATTAATTTATCAAGTCAAAATGTAGGCCACATGCAATATTCTTTAAAGCAGTGAAAGCAATATTTTTATTTCGCTACGTAAACATTTAGCGTTTTACCACTTGGGCATTTACTCAGTGAGATAAGAAAGTTTATACAAATTACTAGAATGTTTTCTAAACCCAGTACTCTAATACAATGTCCCTATTCATGCATGATGTTCCACAAAATGTCATGACCCTGGGGGTTCAAATATGTAGCCCAATACCTTACTGCTTTCCAGAGAACCTCCAGCGTCATCAGAAGTCACTGGAAGATACTTGAGCTTCACTCTTGTTTGTGGAATCGACTCTCCACCAGATCTATGTGGCTCTTCTTACTCTCTTGATGGTGTGGAGGGTGTTTTAGAGTGTCCCAGGGCTCTAGCTCAATGACCTGTCATGCTCTTGGCTGGGGAATGCCCTCCTCTTAGCTACCTCCACTTCCTTAACTCCAGCCATCCTAAGGTAAAATGTCAGGTATATCCAAAATAGACACCAACTCCGAAAATTGATCCCTTAGTTATAAAAAAGAAATTAATCTGCTTCCCAGGGGTTATCTGAGAGGGATCTCTCTCTCTCTTGCTGTCAGGATTTCAGGCTCTGCACATGCTGTCCCGCTTCTTAGAGGAGCATCTTAGTCTTGGTGGCCAGTCTCGCCTGGGAGGAAGGGTCAAGGCAATTTAATCTTTCAGTAGACTTTATATTCTATAGCAGTCTGTACACTGAAAACAAACAAGCTACAAACATCTAAACAGGGTATTTTATGTAGCTCATTACTGGCTTTTGGCTGAAACATGACCCTTTGGGGTTATTTTAATTAACCATTTTTGGGTGACAGCAGGCTTGGAGTGACGGATACCCAATTCCTTTCTCACAGGCACACTGTAACTGTAAGAAATTTCAGTGTGAACATGTGGAACAAATTACAAATGAAATATCTGCGCAAAGGCAAACATGGCCGTCTATAATTATTAAATAATTCAGTAGAGGAAATTGTGCTGGCCTGTATTTCCCAAGCTGCAAGACTGCGCAAGGGAAGATACGCATTTCAGGCTGCAGTTCCCCAGCACCCTGAGTCAAGCCGATCGCTTGTCACTGCCCAAAGACAGCTTCTTCCCCCTTTTCCTCTCCCTCTTCCTCCTCTTTTGTTCCTGCTCCAAGCTGCCCAGGCCCACGCCTCCTTGGTGCCAGCTCTGGTGCTCGTTGGATGCTACAGCCACCTGCACAGCTCTGCCCGCTAGCCCAGCAGAAACTCTCCACTCTCTGGTAGTCTTCTGCCTGTTCAGTAACCTGAATTGCAGCAAGCAGAGGTCCTGAAAGGGGGACAGCCAGCAGAAGACACATTGCAGATTGTGCTGTCGGAGCCAAGAACGGTGTATCCCCTTTTCACAGTGGGGAATCAGCCAAACCCAGGTGATGGAGCCGAGGCTTACCCAGAAATGGTCCGCAACATACAGTAACTGTCTCTTGAAATTGTCTTTCCTTCAGTCATGTGACAAAGTGCTTGATAAAAATTACTGTGTAAATTCTTTGTCCTAAAGATAAGGTCAGATGAGATGGTTGTTTCAATTCCCTTTTTGTTTCCAGCTCTGTGAATCTGTACTTTGTATGTTTGCAGTATGAGTGGAATTAGAGGGTGTTTGCAAGTATTCAGATGAAATGCATGTCTTCTGAATTTACAGCAAGCGAGCTCAAGCCGTAGGGTTTGAGGTGTCCTCTCTCCCTGGTCCATTCCGTGAATGAAATGAAGGCAGATGCTGTTTTTCTCCTTTCCCACCATGGATCTCTGGTGCTCTTTGAGACCCGCAAAGGTGCTCATTAAAACAACTATACTGAGTTGAACCAAAGGTCCATCTACTCTGATATTCATCTCAGTGGCTATAAACAGATGCATAGGGAATAGGAAGGAAAGCGTATATGAAACGTCTCACAAGTGCTTGCCTGGCTTCCAATTATTTTTAGGAGAGAGAATTTCCTGAGCTGGATGTGGCTGCTGTCTGCCTAGGAACCCTCTGTAGGTTTCTTTTCCAAGTATTTGTCCATTTTTTCCTTGATTTCAAGTGCCATCTTTCACGTCCAGAGCCTCCTTTGGTAATAAATACAAGTGTACTATGGGCTGTGCAGGAACTGCCTTCTTCCCATTGTCTGCAGCCTGGTTGATCCTGGGTTCATTCAATTTCCCTTTTAGTTCTTCTCTTGATTCTGAAACTATCGTCTTGGTCCTGAATCGATGACAATATTGCAAACACTTAAGCATCTGCAATTTCCATGCACACAGAGTATGTGCAGGCAGAAATAAAGGAAATGAGCAGGCAATCAAGGTTTATCTTAATTGCACGGGTTTGTAAATGAAAACCATGGTTGGGCCACTGCAGAAGATGCCTCCTGGGTTGTTTTTTTTAAAAAGGCTGGGGATTTTTCCCCGTTGAAAATGTTGACAAACAGTGCTCTTGACCTTGCACTTTACTTCCCATTGCCAAGACTAAACACTGAGAGAAACGCTCCTCTGCCTTTTCAGGAATTCTGTCGCCTGGAGACAAAGAGGTGAGGTGGACAGGGGACCAACGCCTGAAAACAGCCCCAGAGGAGCAGGTGAGCAGAACTCACGGTGGTGGGAGAGCGGCAGCGATTTTGAGGGTGAAAATCCGGATCCATAGCTCTGTCTCTGCCCATTCCCCCCCTCTCCCTATCGCTCATGATAACCGCCCGGCGCAGCCCGCACTTCCCGCAGCGTCCCACCAGCCCCGGCAGCCCAGCGCCGACCCCCGCACCCCGACCCCGCTTTTCCTCCCTGGAACCCCGCCTTGGAGGGAGCCCGCGGGGCCTTTTCCGCGGCGGGGGAGCGCTGCGCTCCGCTCCGCCGTGCGCGGCCGCCTTTTCCCCCCGCCCTCCCCGCCCCGGGGCAGGCGGAGCGGCGGCGGCGCTGCCCTCTCCGCAGCGGGGCCGGCGGGGGATCCGGAGCCGGGCCTCTCCCGCGGGGACCGGGCAGAGCCGAGCCTGCCGAGTGACAGCCGGGGGGGGACGCTGCTGCCT